AATTTATGTTGGGTGTAATAAAAAACTTGTCAACCCTAAAATAGAATTTCAAATAACAAATACAGTACACTCTAAGTTAATTGATGTTACTGTCTAAGAATATAATTGTTGAGTAAGAGTAATATCATTAAAAGAGTGTAAGAAAGTAAACTGTATAATGTGAAATGTTTACATCCAATAACAATAATTATAGACCAAATAGATTTTATATTAATACTTGTTAGATAACTGTAATTTAATGTTACCATATTTTTTTCTTTGTTTTTGAAATAATATATACATAAATACAGGGTGACCATAAATACAACCAGACAGTTTTTATTCAAGTAAATGTACTATGATACTCAAAAGAAATACTAAGAAAAAAAAAAAAACGAAAAAAACAAACAAATGATGAATATTTAGCTAATAAATAACAAATTTAATATATGATTTATTGATACTAATTCAACTTAACAAATCTTTCAATAAAATAATAATTATGACCTGATTATTAAGTTGTTATTAAGTGTACAATACTAAGTACAACAAACTTAAAGTATCATATAGTACATTAAATTAAATAAATACAGCCTCATAGGCCTAATTATTAGATTGTATTTACTTAAATAAATACAACCTAACTAGGTTGAAATAAGTAAATGCATGATACTTAAAAAAAATACAACAGAATATGATGCTCTATTCTATGGGTGAACTTAGCAATAAATACAACCTAATAAATTAGGCCTAGTTAATGCAATAAAGAAATAAGTGAACTTATTTCTATTAAGAGGTTGTATTATTACTGTTATTAAATGTACTATAATATTTAATACGTAAATGAATACAGGTGTTATTAGATTGTATTTACTGTGATAAATTTAGTAAAATAAATATATAGAACCTAATAAATAATTAGCCTAGTTTAATACAATGGAGAAATAACTGATACTGTACTTTGCCAATTACGCTATGAACACCAAATTACCATATGAGTAGGATTAACTGGGTGTGTAAGGGCTCCTGTCTATGTCTTAACAAACACCCCTATTCTGAAATGGATCATTCCTTTGTTAATGGCAATAATTCCTACTGATATTTCTTCCTACTGGCTTTAATTCATACACCCTCTGCGATAGGCTATGAACGGTGTATCTGAAAAAACAGACCTAAGACGTTCTGTGGTCTGTAGAATGGGCATATGTTTCTGAATTATAGCCCTTAGTGGTGGTAACCTAGGGTGATAGGTAGTGACCAGTGGCACTCTGGTCGATCGTTGACGTGGTTTGTACGTCAGTGTTTGATCACGAGGTATGTCCTTTGCTCTTTTTTTTTTTATAGGAATTTCAATGGGTCCTCGATGATAATTTCTATTCCGGAGATGTCCGGATAGTTCTTCCGTTCGATTCTGAAAATCTAAATCCGAAGAACAAATGCGTCTCATGCGCAATGCTTGGCTGTACGGAGTGTTTTTTGTACAGTGCGGGGGGTGACAGCTGCTAGGGAGCAGGTACATATGCTTATCCGTGGGTTTACGGAAGAGATCAGTTTTAAGTGCACCGTTTTCCATGGTCACGGTGATGTCCAAAAAATCTACACTGCTTGTGGATTTGTTAGCAGTGAATTTGATTGTGGGATGAGCCGAATTAATGTTCAATAGGAACGTATCCAAACTATCTTCACCATGGGTCC